AAAAAAAAGAAAAACTTTCAAAATTTCAAAACACTGAATTTTAAAGATAATGTTCAAAATATTTGTTAAAATTTTGTTTGTGACTCTATAACAACAGAGTATGGTTTTAAATATTTTTTAGAAATATTTACCTGTCAACTACTCAAACTGTTGGAAAGCCAACACCCAGCACACAAGTCACACATAAACCTCAATTCAGCCCTGCCTACCAAATATTCTGTGATATACCATCTACTAGGAAAGATCAGTCTCTTTTTCTTCCTTCAAAGTCTTCTTCAAGATAATCCTCTGGTTGTGGTTGTTCTTTTGCAATCTCTACTGATTGCAATGTTGGGCTGGAAAAGTCCAGGTTATTTAATAGTCCAAATTCTTTCATATAGCTTCTCTAATCCTCTCTGCCAGGCAGAACTGTTTATGGTGCCAGGAAATCTTTCCAAGAGCTTCTGTTGGCTTATTTGAGATCAATCTTAGTTCTATAGTTTTCTGGTTAATCTGCAGATATGACATTCTAGCTAAAGCCCTTGTCTGAGTATTTCAGGGGTCTGGAAGATGGAGTTTAGAGCATAGCTTCCCTGAACATGCCAGGACACACATCAGATTTATGTATGAGTATTTTGGGGATCTGGAAGATGGCATTTCTCCATTTATTCTTAAACAATTTGCAAATAACATCCATCTCATTCTCTCCCTTACAGGACTCTGATAATTCACAAAATATCCAGAAAGATACTTGTAATATATAAATTAGGTAACTTTAGCTCATTATCAAAACTTCTTTAAGATCCTCCCATAGAACTTAGAACAAACTCTAATCTTGAAGTCATTTGTCAACTCTTTGAAGGTTTGACCTTTGCATATGTCTCTAATTATTTACTCTTGTGCTAATCACCTGAATTTCTTCTATTTTCTTGAAGTTGCAGTTGTTTCTACTTTTCCTGCCCCATGCGTTGTTGAATACATTATCTCTTTACGTAAAGTAATCTCTTCCTGTTCTTTAGGTTACTCTTATCCACTTTTAAGTTCTCCTCTCACATGTCAGTTTCACAGGCAAATATTCTCTGTCTCCCCATCTAAATTATATTCCACAGACATAGACCCTTTAAACTCTTATAGTAGTCTATTACTTTTGATTTGTTATGTTAATCACTATTTATTGTTCTTCTTCTTCTATACTTTTTAAGGTTTCTTTTGTCTCTATGCTAGAATGGGGAGATAAATCACATTGCTTTTATCCATTTTTACTCCTAGAAGTTGGTACTGCATTAGGTATTAGCATTTCCTATATTTTTTTTAAGTAGATGAAGAATAGAATCATACTACCTACGTCAATGGATCTCACTTACGAATGGTATTTGCTTTTTTTTTTTCTGACTTTGCTGCTTTGAATATATCTCTTGTAAGGCTATTTCACAAACACGGGGCTAAATATTGATAAAGTTACTAGAGCAGAACTATTGGGTCATTGGGAAAGTCATGATGTATTTTTACATAGAAAAACAGAAAAATACATCATGATTTTCAGGACAACCAAATAGATTCTAATTTTCTTGTTTTCACCTTGCTGTTGTAAATGTGAGGTGATATTAGAAACAGTGTTAGTTTCATATAAAGTTCATAATGTGATCTTTGTGTTGTGTTTTCCTTGGCATCATTAGTCTACATATTGGTCAGAAGAGACCCTTTGGTCTTCTTCATTTATCCTCTGAAATTAGCAAAAAGGAAGTGCAGGCAAGGAGGGTAGGGAGAGCCAGTAGGTGGCATTATGGTTAAGGTACTCAGTTCTCACATAGTTGACTGAGGTTCAAGTCCCAGACCTGGCAGTTTGCTTTCTAACTTTATCTTTCTCTCTCTGTTTCTCTCTGGTGAGTGTACGTGTCCTATAGCAAATTAAATAATAATAATAAATAAAATTAAATTAGAGAAAAAAGGAGTGTAGGGAGAAAGCAACTCACGGGGTCCGTTGACAGTGATGCCACCCGAGATCGTTTTGGCACTGGATTGGCTTAGGATATAGGAACAGAATTCTGCAACTTGTTCTGTGAATTCAGGGTTCAGATCTTTGTCCTGTAGCTGCCCCAGATGTTTAAGGTATTTCCTCTGAGTAGGCCGATCGAATACAAAGCACTTTGTCTTTGGGAAGAACTTTTGGATGCACAGTCGGGCCTCATTAAAGCTTTTGCTTTTTGGATCAGTTTCTGCAGGGATGAAAATTTGAGACAGCACAATTTCTAACTACTGACTTACAATACAGGATCCTTCAACTTTATAATTTTCACAAAGCCTGCATGAATGAAGAATAAATAATGAAGAATAAATGAAGATTAAAGGGATAGAAGGGAAAAAGTCTCTAAGGAGAGGTAGGTCATGCAATTTAAAATAAGATCTTATTGATCTAACCAAGACAGACAGAATAGTAAGGAAAATATAGTTACTAAATTATAATCTCATAATTGTCATCACCTACACAGAGAAGGTAATTCTTTTATTTTTAAATTTATTTATTATTATCATAATCTTGTTTATATTACATTGAATCACATATAACTTTACAGTGTATTCCATTGCTTTTTCAAAAGGGAATGCCATGCATGTCAGTCAATACTGAGACATTAAAATCCCCACTTCATCATTCAATATCTTTTCATTGTTATTATTATTCCAATTTTTTTAACCAGGCAATCACTATTTCTCATTTTGCTTGTAAAAAGACTTCACCCATCATGAAATACTCAGAGAAGGTAATTCTGATGTCGTTCGCTATTTGTTACCCAACCAACCATCAGCCCAGTAACCTTGTTTTAGCTTCAGTGACCGCTCTAGGTACTCATCAGCAGTGATGGGTTGTCCATTTACTTCTAGGTCCAGGCAGAAATCTCTCAAAGTCCACACAAAAACTGGAAAGAAGCTCACAAAGTTGTCTGAGTCGTCTACCTTACTATCATTAGGTGAAGATTTTGCTCTGATTTGATCTGACAGTTCTGTCACATAGCTAATAGATTAAGAAAACTACAGAAAAAGTGCCAACTTTAAAAAATTACTTTATTTATTTATTTATTTATTTATTTATTTATTTATTTAATTTGACCAGAGAGGGACAGAATAAGAGAGATTTGACCAGAGAGGGAGGGAGAGAGAGAGAGAGAGAGAGAGAAAGTGAGAAAGCAAGCCTCAGGTCCAGGACTTGAACCATGGTCTGCCAAGTGGGAGTCCAGTGCCCTTAACCACCATTCCACCTGCTGATCCCCAAAGTGACAATTTTTATGATGTGTTTTCATTCAATGCTTACCTTAAATACTTTTCCTTTTATTAGCTCATTCATTCATTCAAATACATTTGCTGACAGAATGTATTCACTCACAGACATTTATTGAGCTCTTAATATAAACTATGCACTGTCCTACAGACTAAAAATATTGCACTTAGACATTGCCATTATAGACATTACATGCTAGTGAGGGATACAGATAATAAAATAGGAAACAAAAATATAATGAAATCTCAGGTATTGATGACAATTGCCCTGAAGGATACTAACCTAGGTAAAAGAGTAGAGATAACTCTTTGCAGGTAATGCTGGTTTATGTAACTGTACTGGTAATGTCTCTCTGAGGCTATGGTATATCCACTATATATCAAGAAGTCCAGTGTGATAGGGCAAAAGTCATAAAAGAAATAGGGTTCAAGGCCAGCAGGCAGCTTAGTGATTAAGGCACTGGATCCCACATGGCTAATCCATGGTTCAAATCCTAGTACCAGAGGCTTGAAAGACATGCTATGTGTGTGTGTCTGTGCTTAAAATCCTGAGAAGAGAATGGAAGAGAAGGGATTGTGGCGTGGCCATTCCCCCCGAGGGAGTGATTTCTCATTTTCTCTCTGTCTCTCTCTCTGGTCTGTCTCTCCTTTGCAAGTGCAAATACTCTACAGTAAACAAAACAAAACAAAACATAAGCTCCATAAAACAAAGTACGAAGTTTCAAATTTAATCTAAAGGTAATAGAAGCTATTGGTGGGTTTTGAGGGAAGAGAGGAGGTATCTTTAAAATATTTTTAAAAGTATATTATTTCCTGGTAGTGTCGCATTTGTGAAAGTCAAGAGTACAGGTAAAGAGAAGAGTGAGGTAGTTGAGGAGATAACCAAAATGAGAGGTCATGGTCAGAGAGACGCAGTGAGAATTTTTCATTCTTTATTTATTTTTTCTTTTTTCTTTTTTTGGGGAGAGATTTTCTCTATAGGGCGCGTGCGCTCGCCAGACAGACAGAGAGAGACAGAGACAGAAAGCGAGAAATCACCCCCCAGGGGGGATGGTCACGCCGCAATCCCTTCTCCTCCATTCTCCTCTCGGGATCTTGGGCACGCACACACACGCGTCCGGCGTGAGTTTTAAGCCACCGGGTCCAGGACGCGAACCACGGTCGACTACGTGGGAGTCCAGCGACATAGCCATTACGCTAACTGCTGGTTCCCGAGAATTTTTCATTCTAAGAAAATACCTTCAAGAAGGTATGAGGATTTGTTGAGTATCATTTCTAGGATACGAGGAAATGAATCTTTGAGAACCATTGCTTAGTTTTTGATCTGAATACCTTTATAAATGGTATTAGAATTCACTGTGATGGGAAAGACATAGGACAGTTTTATCCAAGAAAATTAAAAGTTTTTGTTTTTTGGCTTTGAAGTTGAGATATCTTACATGTCTAAACAGAGATGTTGCTTCAGCACCTAGATACAAAAGTTTGAACTTGGTTATGACAGGAAATACAGATTTAATGGTGATGAACATACAGTTACTACTGAAAGTCTGGAAGCTGGATGAGAACACCTAGGAACTTGAAGTAGAGAAAAAAAGGGAAGAAGCACAAGAATTCAATAATTATTGTAGAGGCCAAGAAGGAATAGAAGGTACAACAAAGTAAAAGTTCTACCAATGAGAGAGGTGGAAAATTAGGAAACTTGTGGTATTCTACACACAACTAAGTGTTTCAGAAAGGAGGAAAAGATAAACTTGATGAATGGTGCTCAGTGATCAAATAAGATGAGAATTCCCATCAGTTATCAGAACGTGGGACAAGTTCCAGGGCCTTGTGGATAAGGCAGTCTTATCTCACACGATCACCCATAGTTCATGTCCAGACCTGGTGTCTTAAGAAATAAGCTGGATGTGTGTGCATGCCCAAAATCTCAAAAGCAGTGAGAGATGGGGACAGGATTGTAGGGGGTTATTCCCTCTCCTCTTCTTTTTCTCTTTCTTTCACTCTGGCAAATGTATATGCCCTCCTGTAAAAATATTATGGATTGTGGTGACCCTGATGAAAACTAATTCAGTGCAGTGCTTATACCTAAGTCCCTAGAAATGATGAGGTTATTGATAATGACTAAGATTAGGTGGTATGGGAGGACGAAGGAAAAGATAAGAAGATGTGATAGAACTGAGCGATCAGAGAGTTAGATGAGTATCTATTGATTATTAGTCTCTAAAAACACATTAGGAATGAAAGATTTTTAACAATTGAGGTGCCTTTACTGAGAGGTCAGTAGATGATTACAATAAAGGAGAGTAATATAACATGAAGACATAGCCTCAAAGGAAGTTCTCTCTTTATTGGCAGAGGAATGAAAAAGTGTTTATAAACTATAAAAGAAATGAAGAGGATACCTAACTCATGTCTGGAAACGATGACATGCAAGATACCACATAAGGCCACTTGGGAGCTCTGTGTGAAAATATTGTCCACAGCACATAGCAAGGTATCAATTAAAAGATAACATTTAGAAAAAACGAGCAGGATATAGAGATTGGCTGAAGTGAGCACATGAGTTTTGAAGAACTTGCAAGCTTGCCAGGGAAGGTTAAGTATAATAGGGGATGTGATTCTTGTTCAGCTGATTCTAAGAACAAATGTGATGGAGGGATTTGAACTTCTAATAAGGACAGGTAAACTGGGATGTTGAGCATAGTGGGATTTATTAAAGAGAAGACCCATCACTTCTTCAATACTTGCCCACCTCTGTATCTGCTGAAAACAAAGCAGTTCTTATCTAGGTTTAGTACTGTTCTAGACCACAGAAAAGGATACTGTAGTTTGTCCATGGCCTGCTGGTCGATAGTTCCCGTATTATTGTATACAAAGGTGCTGCTCAGAAGGATTGCCAGGGCAAAAATCCAGGAGTCATTCTGGTTGTCACCCTAAAAATCAGTGCAGAAGCCACATTGAAGAGAAAGAGAATGTGCCTTCAATACTAATAGGCAATGACTGAACCCAGCTCTGTCTTCTATTAACTGTGGAAACTTAGGTACGTCACTTACCTATGCTATAATTTTTTTCTCATTTATGCAATGAATTTATAAATTTTAATATGTAATATTACATAATTTAAATGAAGCATTTTTTAAAAATGGTATGTGTTATTATTACTATTTTTTTTTTCTAGAGATAGAGAAAGGGAAAATGAGAAAGCTACCCACCAGGTTTGAGACTCAACTGGGGGTCAGCCATGTGGGAGTCCAGGGCCTTAACAGCAATACCACCTGCTGGGCCCCAAATAAAGCATTATTTATAAATGTATATATGAGAATGTGAAGCACATAAACGCTCAATAATAATAGCTGTTTGGTCTGCTGTTAAAATTGAAAACGGTATCATGAACTTAGTTTATGACCCTATTTCATTCCTTTGCCATGTAATGAGAAGAAACTTTTTAGATAGTAATAACAATAAAATAAGCTCTAAGGTAAGAGTTTTCTCGATCCCAAATTTGTGGAGTGCAAATATATGATCTCTAATGAACAAAGATGTTATCATTAGATTTTACACATTGCCTACTTGTAGTGTTGCTGTGGATATGAGCATTCTTATTTTCTTTCTGGATCCCCACTGTGAAAAGACAGACATGTTTGTATACTGCTTTGTGAAGTTTAGGGGCACCTTCATCAGCCTTGAGAAAACATTTTGCTATGATATGATAGAAAAATGACTTGAAAAGTCATTAGTCTTTTTGTGGGTTGAACCATAATTAATCAATTAAACTTATTGACCACTATCAATGTTTACCAAACACATTTAAAGAGTAATACATCAGGTCAGCTGGTACCATGGTGGTTGAAGGGGCTGGATGCCACGTGACTATGTGGCTCAAGTCCCAGATCCAGAAATTTGGAAAACATGGCAGATGCTTGTGCATGAGTGCCCAAAATCCTGAGAGGAGAATGGAGGGGAGAGGATTGTGGCCTGCCCATGTATCCCTAAAGGGTTTTTCTCAACTTTCTCTCTCTCTGGTGGGCACATGTGCACTGTGGAAAATTTTAAAAAGAATATAATTACAAGCATAAATCAAGAAGTGGGAGTGCTAGTGCAAGGAAGGTTATTGATCTGACATAAATAGAATTTAAAAGATTTACTTTATACCTTCTCTACATCTCCCAGGCCCTCTGTGTCAAGCAGAACCAAGGTGTGGTTTGGCTTCTTGGGATGAGGCATACACCACATCCAGATTCCCTTGGTGTGAGACTGCATTGTGGATCCCAAAGAGAAGCCTGCAAAGGAGAGTGAGAATATGCAGGGAAGGAAATTAAATAGCAACTGCTTTTGAAAACTGAGACAAAAGTGAACTTACATGGACCAACGGAGGGTGTAATGGTTATGTTGCTGAACTCCCACATAGTTGATCATGGTTCAAGTCATGGACCCAGAGACTTGAAAATTATACTGGGTGCATGTGCATACATGCCTGAAATCCTGAGAGGAGAATGGAGAAAGGGTTGCAGCATGGTCATTCCCCCTGGGGAATAATTTCTTGCTTTCTGTCTCTCTGTCTCTATCTTTTGTGAGCAGACACCCTCTATAGCAAAAATTCTCTCTTAAAAAATTAGCATACACAGTTAAAGGAGATAAACTAGTGTACAATGAATATTGATCTTAATTACAATGATAGAAAAGGGAAATTAGAACATTCAATAGAAACATTTATTTTAGCTCAAAGTTTAGTGGAAACTTGCTGTTACTACATGTACTTTTCAGTAAATGCTTTATAATTCACTATTCATTATAATTTCCTTTATTTATTTCTTCCAGAAAGGCACACTTTTTCTTTTCAATGGGAAACTCAAGGCAAAGTAGGAAGAGTGAGTTGACTGTAATCCTCCAGCGTGATCCTAAGAAGCCCATTGGGTTGGAAGTTAGTTTCACAGTTCATTCCCACCTCTAACCTTCTTCCCTCACCCTCTCCTGGATGCCAACAGTGGGTGCACAGAAGGTGACTATCCAAGATCTGCTGCTGCCACTCACCCTCTTTTTTCCCAGCCAGCCCGTTCCCCCTCTTTTTCCCCAGCCAGCCTGTTCATCAGGTAGGATTTGCCTGTGCGGGAGGAGCCCGCAATAGCCACCACCACGACAGGCTGTGTAATAGCGGACAGGATATTCAGAGCATCCTGATTGGCCACTAGCTGCCCTTCAGTGTTCTCAATGAGACACACTGGGCCTGGCATGAAGTCTGCTGAGGCCATCTGTAGAGTGTTTCTTTATCTGTAAGGGAAAAGTTAGAATGGGAAATAATTTTAGTCACTTACCTGAACTAATTTACAGTATAAAGAATTTCTTAATTATAGTCCTTGAACTTTGTTCAATGAACATTTTTAAAAGTCCTGATGCCCTTTAAGGCTGCCCTATAGAATGGTCCTCAGGTTCTTCTTTTTTCTTTCTTTCTTTCTTTTTTTTTTAAAGAACTGCCTTTATTCAATTTATTTGCTCATTTATTTTAATTTGACCAGAGAGAGACAGAGAAGGAGAGAGAGAGAGGAAAAGGTTAGAAGCCAGTCCACCAGGACTGACACTCAAACCATGGTTGGCCATGTGTGAGTGTCCAGCACCTTAACCACCATGCCACTACTGGCCCCACCAGTGGTTCTTCTTGATATTTACTTTGTTTTCGGGTCAGGAGGTGGTGTGGTGGCTAAGGTACTAGACTCTCACATGACCAAATGCAGTTTGAGTCATGGACCTAGTGACTTGAAAATCCCACTGGGTGGATGTGTATGGGTGCCCAAAATCCTGGAAGGAGAATAGAGGACAAGTAATTGTAGCATGACCAACTCCCTGGGAGAGGTTTCTTTTCATTTCTCTGCCTGTCTCTCTGCATCTCTCTTGTGAGCACACATGCTCTATAGCAAAAATGTAAAAAAAGGAAAAAAATTGTTTTGAAATAGACTCACAGAAAAGTTACAAAATGAGTACAAGGGAGTTTACATATACCATTTGCCCAGCTTCCCCTAGTGCTGTATCTTACAAAATCATACAAAGGTGACTTAGCATCAAACTTAAGTGAAAAGGAAAATATGTCGATAAACTTCTCCAGTTATTTCTTCCCTCCATTTCATAGTAATCGGGGGAGCCTGGCTGCATCCACAGTTGGTTGACTCTGTGGTTGCTGAAGTGACAGATATGGGAGACCAATTATGTATAATTAGATACATAATTAGAGACATACTCTTTTAACCAGGCTTGGCAATTTGATAATTTTGATAATTTAATAAAGTTAAAGTATTTCTTGAGTAATGCCTTAACTCTGTACCGTTAACTTCAGTGTCTCAATTTCTGTAACTTAATGTGACGGCAACATAAATTTGTGAGCTCTCTGACATATAAACAGATATCAACTGTAGGCACTTGAGGTTTCATTCTTAGCCTGAAATACAGAGCTCCTTACACCCACTATAGAGCTCATTACTCCCTACTAGCTCTGCCGAGGGATTATAATAATAGGATGCCAGTCCTGCTCCTAGCTAGCTTGCAATCTTTTCAGGGGAAGGTGGCAAAAAGTCATTTATTTTCTATGCCTGGATCCAGTTCCTTTTACAACAATAGCCAGGAGGGATGGCCAGAAGCTGAAAGTCATTTCAACTTTATAAGAGGAATCACGCCATCGCAATGGGAATCAATGGCTGACTTAGAAAAAATGGCCGCACAAAGATTTTTAAAACTCCCAAATTATAGTCACTCATTGCCTCATTTTGCAGATCCCCAGTTACTCAACTTACCTAGACTATAGCATTTGGCAAGTAATGAAGAAATGGAGGCTAAGTTTTATTAGGCAGATACTTCTAAAGATAATGGTAATTTAAAACAGTGTCTAGAAAGAAATTATCTTAAAAAATTCCTAACTCCAGATTCAAGATCTACTATTGAAGGAACCTAATAGGATCCAGCAGGAGCAGGCACGTAAAGGGCCATGCTCCAGCCTACAAAGGCAGGGTTATGGGAAACTGTGTCCTGCCTCAGACTCAGCTGCAGCCTATCCGGAAATGATCACTTTAGAAACTAGCTGAGACCTATAAACCCATCCTGCCTCTGACCCCACCCCAGTATTACTCAGACCAGGGTACCTTCAGAGTGGAGAAGAAAGCAGCTTCCATAGGAAAGTTTCAGGAGTGCCTGTCCTCTTCCTCTTTTTTCTGCATTTTGCAGCTCTGCTTTCTCCCACTTTTCTCTCTCACTGGAACTTTAGGTTTTTACTTTATCCCTCCAGTGTTCTGAGGCTTTCCAAATCTTCTTCAGAGACCTGATGATTAGGCAACAGGAAAGAGGAAACAGAAGAACAGCCTCTGTGAAACTGAAAGCACTGAAGCTAAGGACATTGCTCAACATTCACAAAAGGAGTGGTTGAGCGCTGAAGCAATGTGAGTGTTTGACAGGGGTTTTCCACTAGATCCTTCAGATTTTATTATTGAAAAGACCATAGAGACTGTTTGTGACAATAACAACAAAGAGCTTTGTTGAATCATTTCTAATAATGCTATTTATCTTATGTTTGGGAGTCAATTTGAGAAGCATAGGGATGAGAGAGCCTCATAAAATATGTTTCTTTTTTTGGGGAGAGATTTTCACTGTAGGGCGCGTGCGCTCGCCAGACAGACAGAGAGAGACATAGAGACAGAAAGCGAGAAATCACCCCCCAGGGGGGATGGTCACACTGCAATCCCTTCTCCTCCATTCTCCTCTCGGGATCTTGGGCACGCACGCACACGCGCCAGGAGTGAGTTTTTAAGCCACCGGGTCCGGGACATGAACCGCGGTCGACTACGTGGGAGTCCAGCGACATAGCCATTACGCTAACTGCTGGTTCCCTCATAAAATATTTTTTTAAGATCCAACTGCATTCAATATTAGATGCATTGTCAATGGATCTGGTTACTCACGGTTAGTAATGAGGATTCTAAGTGCCTGAGGGAATGTCCTCTTCTTATACATACATTTTGAAACTTTCAGCACATAACCAAGCATTTAATGAATAATAAAAAAAATGAGTAAAGATAGCTCCCAATTATTGCACACTTGATCAGACCCGGTGATAACTTTACATAGATTGTCCCATATTTTCTTATCAAAATATTAGTATAATGTTATGAAGAGATTTAATAACAATAATCACAGAACTGGGGTTGGCGGGTGGCATGGTGGTTAAGGGGACTGGATTCCCCTATGGCTGACTGTGGCTCAAGTCCCATACCTGGTAGCTTGCTTTCTCATTTTCCCTTTCTCTCTGTGTCTCTCTCTGGTTAAATAAAAAATTAATAATATTAATAAATGGAATTAAGTCAATACATAATTTTTTTAAAAAAGAAAATCACAGCACTATCAAGTAAGATTTGAATGTAAGAAATCTTGTTCCAAAACCCATGCTATGGAGAGCCTCAGTTCTGTGAGAGGGCCTTTGCAGTGTACTAGACACACTCGCTTAGCAGCGGAAGACTCTGAGTTCTCGGTACTCTTCAGAGATGAGTCATGTGGCGGTAAAAAAAGCACTTGGGCTGGACCAGCAGTTTGCTGGCCTAGACCTGAACTCTTTGATAATCAGAGTGGAGGAAGTACAGCCAGCAAAGGCTGTTATATCCCTCCTCATTTAAGGAACAGGGAAGCAGCTGAAGGATTCTGTGATAAAGATAGTTGTGGCTGGAGCTTAAATAAAGATAAGGATGTGTACAGCAGTTTTGGATCTCTTAGTGATTCATGAGGGAAGTCTAGTTCTTCAGTGATCGAGGAAGTGGATCAAGAGGAAGGTTTGATGATTGTGGGCAGAGTGACTATGGTGGCTCTGGCAAATTTGTTCATAGAAATAGTTGCTGGTGTGACAAATCAGATGAAGATGATTGATCAAAACTACTCTCACCAAGTGAATGATTGAAATAGGAGCTCTTCTCTGGAGGCAACACTAGGATTAACTTTGAGAAATATGATGACATTCTGGTTGAGGCAACAGGCAACAACTGTCCTCCACACATTGAAAGCTTTAGTGATGTTGAGATGGGAAAAATCATCATGGGAAACATTGAGCTTACCTGTTATACTCTCCCAACTCCAGTGCAAAAGCATGCTATTCCTGTTATCAAAGAGAAAAGTAGACTTGATGGCTTGCGCCCAAACAGCAGGGAAAACTGCAGCATTTCTCTTGCCCATCTTGAGCCAGATTTACTCAGTTGGTTCAAGTGAGGCTTTTAGGGCCATGAAGGAAAATGGAGGATATGGGCACCATAATAATGCCCAATTTTCTTGGTGTTAGCACCAACCAGAGAATTAGTGGTACAGATTTATGAAGAAATCAGGAAATTTTCATACTGATCTCGAGTTTCTCCTTGTGTGGTTTATGGTGATGCTAATATTGGTCAGCAGATTCAAGACTTACACCGTGGATGACACTTCTTAGTAGCCACCCCAGGATAGCTAGTGGATATGATGGAAAGAGGAAAAATGGGATTAGACTTCTGCGAGTACTTGGTGTTATATGAAGCTGATAGAATGTTGGATATGGGGTTTGAACCTCAGATACATAGAATAGTTGAACAAGATACTATGCCTTCAAAGAGTGTCCACCACACAATGATGTTTAGTGCTACATTTCCTAAGGAAATACAGATATTGGCTTGTGATTTTTTTGGTGAATATATCTTTTTAGCTGCAGGAAGAGTTGGCTCTACCTCTGAAAACATTACATACAAAGTAGTTTGGGCGAAAGAATAAGACAAATTATCAATATGGAAATTCCTCAAAGATCTGCAAGTAAAACAACCATATGATCCAACAATTGTACTCCTGGGTAGCTAACCAAAGGATAGGAGAATGCTCATTCAGCAAAGTGTTTGCACATTTATGTTTATTGCAGCATTATTCACAATTGCTAAGACATGGAACCAACCCAAATGTCCATGAACAGATGAATTAATTGAAAAGTGTGGCACATATACCCTATGGAATACTACTCAGTTATAAAAAACAAGACCCTAGCATTTGATAGAATGTAGATAATATGGAAGATTTACTGCTGAATGAAGCAAACCAGGCTATGAAAGAGAGACACTATATGTAACCACTATATATATATACTGACTATCCACACTCTATGGTGGATGTGAAAACTGAAAGATTATAAAGGATATGGAAGCACAGAAAACAGTTATAGATACTGGAGACAGTGTGGAAAGAGGTAGAAGAGGAGGAGAGTGAGAGGAAAAGAATCAAAGAGAAAATTAGAGAGGCCAGATATTTAAGGGGACACAGAAATGGCAGACTGTCTGTTGATGATAACATGTAGTATATCTTCAACTGAACTGGTGTGAAGTGTATTCATGTTGGGTAAATTTATTTTATAAGCTGTAGTGATGTAGTCATTGAATGTATAAAATAAATTTTAAAGAATGTTTACTACTAGTAATAGAATATTATGATCCATTAATCATTCATGTATTAAAAATATTTAATGAACAAGACTATACATGAAGTAGTCACATGTTAATGTTCAACTGTATATATTGAGTGATTATATTAACATAGGTAAGATTGGAATGATTACTTAGAATGATGGATTATACTCATCCCCTTTGCTTAGACAGAAAGTAGGGGTAATGGATGCAGTTTCAAGGGCCAATACAGTTGTTTATGCTGGTGGGAAAATAAGGAGACAATGGTTTATGATAATAACAAGTTGTCACTGGACCAAATTTTTATTTTATCTATGTGGTAATTTACTTTAAATGTTTCAGACTTAGTTCTTTAGAGATACTATAATAAAATACTGTAAACTCTGTGGTTTAAATATAATAATGTAATTATATGTTATTCAGGGTAGAATGTGTGCATCCAGCACAGAAAGAGAGAAAGAGACCCCTTAACAGTGTCTCATCAGATCATGAATCCTTCCAGAACATCAGGTTCTTAGGCATGCACAAGTGTACCCAGTTTATTTGCAAGCCAGCCCAGGGATTTGAATTTGTAGTCGTCCATGTGGCTTTTAGCATATAATTCAGTTTGCTTTTGACTGTGCCATTAGGCTGGGCCACATATGACTTTTGAGTGTGCATATAGCATTTGTTTCTCATAGTTCTGGAGGCTGAGAGGTGCATGACCAAGGAACTAGTATAGTATGTTGGACGTTTTTGAGAGCCCACTTTGTGGTTCATAGATGGTGACTTGTAGTGCTGCCCTCATATGGTGGAAGGAAAGAACTCTACTCTCTTCAGAGCTTGGTAAGGACATTCATCTCATTCATGAGAGCCCCATCTCATGACCTAATCACTTCTCCAAGACTCACTTTCTGTAACTATCTCAATGGGAATTAGATTTCAACATGCAAATATTGAGAAGACATAAACATTAGGTCCATTGTATACAGTAACCAATGTGCTGTGGGTGTTTGGAAGTTGACTCCAGTTTATACCTGTGGGGTGGTTGATGAGCGCTGGAATTGCCTGAATTGGAAATGATCGTCTTAGAGTTTATCATTCACTGTAGGAAGCATCCTTTTCTCTGTTAACACAAAGGGTTTGCTAGTTGACATAGGGGTTGGCAGAAAAATGAGGTCAGTGGGCCTTAAAGTAAGTGGTTGAGGAAAATAAACAGGTCCCAGATACCTTTGATGAACATGGCATAAGGTAGAGCAGGCCCAGGTCTCATGGCCATTGTGTTGTGTTCCAGGGATTGGGCTCCCTCTGGGCCCTCACTGTCCCCTCACTACAGAGAGGTTCCTGCCCTGATCTAACTTCAAGGCCAGGGAATCTGCCATAGAAGCTCACTCTGTCCATCTTACTGTGAGTCTTTGATTCCCAGAAGGACCATCCCAGAGTGAAGACACGTTGTTTAAAGTTCCTACTCCTCCCCGTGTGCTGAGTACACATACAGGGAAGAATTTAAATGAAGACAAGGGAGGTCAAAGAAGACCATCCAACACTCTCCTCAGCTCTCTTGCATGCTGAATTATTTCCAGTATTCTAGTGGAGAGCTGTGCTCTACTTTTCTTCGCATTTCTATCATATTTCAACTCCTACCTTCTACTTCAACAGTGAAGATTCCTTGAGAAATCAGTTCTGTGAGGGCTATTCAAGTGCAGGCTAATGGGTGAAAAGGCAGGGCTAGTGAGACAAGTTATAGACAAAGTCCAAGAAAATAAGAAAGGATTTTAGCTGTGTCAAACGCTATCTGCAAGATTGCACATGGACCTGTCTTCCTACACAATTGTTGAAATGGTACTTGAAATAGACTTGTTATTTCTTCAGTAATCCTTCAGTTCTTTATTAGCTTTGAAATATTATAGAGGCCTTTTTCCTGCAGCTTTAATTTGTGTGAATGTAACTACTCCAACATTTGAAAACTTAACTTCATATTATGTGGACAATCTTTTTATACTGCATTTATTGTCCTTGCCCTCACTTCTGGCTCCCTTCTATCTGTAAAGTGCTATAGCGGCTAGGAGCGGTGGAGCACAGGGCGGTGCTCTGCAAAGCTGACCCATGTGGGAGGGTTCCAGGTGCACATCTGGCGACTTCCCTGAGCGTGTGAATGCCACTGGAGGCTGCTGAAATGGGGATGGATCACAGACTGAGACTCAGAAATATCTGAGACCAAGAGGTGGTAGACAGAAGTAAATGGGCAATTTCAATGTCACAGTTATATAAGAAGTTGTATGGTGACAAGATGGCCCAATGCAACACAGAGAAGGAAACTCATTCCGTCTCAGAAAATCAGAAAATAAGAAACCTCAAAGAACAATAGAGGTTGAATTCCATAATAGTTGAGCTGACCTTGAAGAAAAATTTTATTTCTAAGTCACCATTCATATTATTGTGGGGGAGATTTGAAAGACATTCCAGTAGACATACGTCTCAGGGGACTTCACATCTACAAATATATTAGGGAGGGCCTATCAATGTGGTGGTTAAGCTGCTGGAGTCCCCATGTGTGACGGAGACTAGAGCCCCAAACCTGGCAACTTGAAGATCATGCCAGGTACATGTGTGGGCATGCCCAAATCCTGAGAGGAGAATGAAAGAGAAGGGACTGTGGTATAGGTATTTCTCCTGGGGGGAACGATTTCTCACTTTTCCTCTATCTGTCACTCTTTAGCAAGCACACATACCCTAAGCTAAGATTTTATTGAAAGTCTGTCTATATTGAAAACAAAAGTGTAAAACAGGTCTTATGTCTTCTAGTTTTCCATTCTAATGAAGAGATTTTGTTGTTGTTGTTGTTTGTTTTGGTATAGGGTGCATGTGCTGTCTAGAGAGACAGAGGGAAAGAGGGAAGAAGTGAGAAAT